TTTACACTCTCCTTGTTTCTATGAAATGTCTCAGTATTTTTTCAGTGGGTACTATTTGGATCCCAGATGTCTTGTCACACTTATTTTCAAGTCTTCTAAAGCCTGAGCAGCTCTGATTAGAGGATGAGTTTTTAAATAAACATTTGTATATTTTTCTACTAAAACATGCATATTCTGAATATCAGATTTGTTTTGACTCTACTAGGACAGAGCATTCTAAAAATTGTAGTAGTAAAAACAATTTCTCAAATTTATTATTGCCACAAATTTATTATAGTCCCAGTAATGAAATGAAGGCAGCCTCTACTAATTTCAGTGATGTTGAAAAACCACATGCCACCTCATTAGTACCCTCATGGCCAAAGCTATTGAACATCTGGATGGACAGTCAAAAACACTGCTGGTCATAGTTATCTTATTTGTGAAATTATATGGGTAAAGGATTTCGGTTCCTGCATTAGGGAACTTACAGTTTAGTGAAGAGATAAAGACAGAAACACATTTAAAAGACATAATTCATAGACTGAAAATAAAAAATAAACATATTTTCCTAATAATTAATCACTTGCATTGTATTGAATGACTCGATCAGAGATTAGGCCCAAACATCAAAACACCTGGAAGGAAATGAACAAGACCTCTGTGTAGGTATTAAGAAATAAGACCATTTGCAACTAAGGGCCTGTACATGTATAGAGAAAATCTTGGTTAACTTAAAAACATGATCAATAGGGCCTTGAAGATATATTTGTACATCCATTTTCATAGTAGTATTATTCATTCAGACAAAAGATGGACACAACCCAAGTGCCCACTGACAGATAAACGGATAAACAAAATATGATATATACATACAGCAGAATATTATTTAGCTTAAAAAGGAAGGGGATTCTGATATTGATATGTGCTATATAACATGGATGAACTTTGAGAACATTAAGCTAAGTGATGTAAGTCAGTCACAAAAAGACAAATACTGTACTGGTTCCGCTTATATGAGATACCTAGAGTAGTCAAATTAATAGTGACAGAAAGTAGAATGCTATGGCAGGTGGGGAGAGGAGAATAGGGGTTGGTTTATGGATGTAGAGCTTCAGTTCTGGAAGATAAAGAGTTCTGGAGACTGCACAACAATATGAATATACTCAACAGTAGTGAACTGTACATTTAAAAATAGTTAAGATCGCAAATTTTATATTCTGTGTATTTTGCCACAGTTTTTTTAAAAATGTAATACATGTGAAGTCAATAAAAACTTAATTTTCTTAGGGAAAATCATGTCATTTTAAAGCAGTGAAATGAAATTTTAAAAATAAATATATACTGCCATTCTCAACCTCTCTTATATCCTTACCTAAGCAAACTTACCTAACCTCTAAATTCACCAAATAATACACATGAGAGATCGAAAAGCTGGAGAAAGGATAGGGAAATAGGGTGCTTACTTGACAGCTCCATCTCCCTCATCCCACCCTTTTTTTTTAAATTTTTTATTAAGGTATTATTGATATACACTCTTATGAAGGCTTCACATGAAAAAACAATGTGGTTACTACATTTACCCATATTACCAAGTCCCCACCCATACCCCATTGCAGTCACTGTCCATCAGTGTAGTAAGATGCCACAGATTCACTATTTGCCTTCTCTGTGCTATACTGTTTTCCCCATGATCCCCTCACCAGGTGTACTAAACATAATACCCATCAATTCTCTTCTCCCTCCCTCCCACATCCCTCCCCTTTGGTAACCACTAGTTCCTTCTTGGAGTCTGTGAGTCTGCTGCTATTTTGTTCCTTCAGTTTTGCTTCATTGTTATACTCCACAAATGAAGGAAATCATTTGGCATTTGTCTTTCTCCACCTGGCTTATTTCACCTAGCATAATGTCCTCCACCTTCATCCATGTTCTTGCAAATGGTAGGGTTTGTTTCTTTCTTATGGCTGAATAGTATTCCATTGTGTATATGTACCACCTCTTCTTTATCCATTCATCTACTGATGGACACTTAGGTTGCTTCCATATCTTGGCTATTGTAAAAAGTGCTGCAATAAACATATGGGTGCATATGTCTTTTTGAATCTGAGAAGTTGTATTCTTTGGGTAAATTCCAAGGAGTGGAATTCCCAGGTCAAATGGTATTTCTATTTTTAGTTTTTTGAGGCACCTCCTTATTGCTTTCCACAATGGTTGAACTAGCTTACATTGCCACCAGCAGTGTAGGAGGGTTCCCCTTTCTCCGCATCCTCGCCAGCATTTGTTGTTCTTAGTCTTTTCGATGCTGGCCTTCCTTACTGGTATGAGGTGACATCTCACTGTGGTTTTAATTTGCATTTCCCTGATGATTAGTGATGTGGAGCATCTTTTCATGTGTCTGTTGGTCATCTGAGTTTCTTCTTTGGAGAACTGTCTCTTTGTATCCTCTGCCCATTTTTTAATCAGGTTATTTGCTTTTTGGGTGTTGAGGCGTGTGAATTCTTTATATATTTTGGATGTTAACCCCTTGTCAGATATGTCATTTACAAATATATTCTCCCATACTGTAGGATGCCTTTTTGTTCTGTTGATGGTGTCCTTTGCCGTACAGAAACTTTTTAGTCTGATGTAGTCCCTTGAGTTTATTTTTGCTTTTGTTTCCCTTGCTCGAGGAGATGTGTTCAGGAAGAAGTTGCTCATGCTTGTATTCAGGAGATTTTTGCCTATGTTGTCTTCTAAGAGTTTTATGGTTTCATGACTTAATTCAGGTGTTTGATCCATTTCAAGTTTACTTTTGTGTATGGGGTTAAACACGAATCCAGTTTCATTCTCTTGCATATAGCTGTCCAGTTTTGCCAATACCAGCTGCTGAAGAGGCTGTCATTTCCTCATTGTGTATCCATGGCTCCTTTATTGTATATTAATTGACCATATGGTTGGGTTTATATCTGGGCTCTCTAGTCTGTTCCATTGGTCTATAGGTCTGTTCTTGTGCCAGTACCAAATTGTCTTGATTACTGTGGCTTTGTAGTAGAGCTTGAAGTTGGGGAGCATAATCCCCCCTGCTTTATTCTTCTCAGGATTGCTTTGGCTACTCGGGGTCCTTTGTGGTTACATATGAATTTTAGAATGATTTTCTCTAGTTCATTGAAGAATGCTTTTGATATTTTGATAGGAATTGCATTGAGTCTGTAGATTGCTTTAGGCAGGATGGCCATTTTGACAATATTAATTCTTCCTATCCAACACGGGATGTGTTTCCATTTATTGGTATCTTCTTTAATTTCTCTCATGAGTGTCTTACAGTTTTCAGAGTATAGGTTTTTCACCCTTTCTTTTGTTTTAATTTAAAGAATTCCAGATTCCCTGTACTTAGAGTAAGCATCAATTCAGTTTCATCCCATATTCCTAAAGAATAAAAATAAAGATTTTAGAATTGTATTTTGTTGACCAAAATTACCTTATTGCTGTTCTGACCAACAGTGTTACTTAATAGTCACAACAGTAACTATAGATTTACATTGCATTAATGCTAGTGCAAATGCATGTTAGATTGGCCAGATCACTATTAGTAATATGTGTAATTTTAGAGGCTCAGGGAGATACTGAACATCTTCATAGGAAGTACACAAGGCAATGATGGGACTGAAAACCACTGCAGGAACTGGAGATGTCTCCCCTAGAAAACAGACAATGAGGCCAGTAGCTGGTATCTCTGTCTTCAGATATTTGAGGGACTAGTATATGAAAGGGGAATTTATTTAGAACATGTGTATAGATTATAGAAAGACAGACTTTAAGGTCACATTTAAAAAATACTTTTTGTAACTTAGAGTTGCCCAATAGGCTTCCTTGTGGGGAGATGTACTTCCCACTGCAGGAAATTTCTAAGAAGAAGGTAGGTAACTTACTAACTAGAGAACTGTATCGAAAATTTCTTGGTGGTCTCTGGGACCTATTTTTTTTTTTTTTTTTGTAATTCTAGGACTTTAAGGAATCCAGTTGGAAAACCATAGAGCAAGACCATACCAGCCAGATTTTAAAAATCTAGTTATTCTAAATGTTTTTAGTCCACTTTCATAGTTCAATACAGAAAATGAAGAGCCACTGAACAATTCTAAGCATAATAATGACATGGTTTGATTTACATTTAGAAAGGTCACTACATTGTCAGTGTGAATCAAAATCAAAACTGGCATGAAGCAAGATCAGTTTGGAGGGTGCTACAATGGCTTAGGTAAGAAATGATTAGAAGCTAAACTAAGACAGTAGTAATGGTAGACAGAGGGCAAGTGTTGATTTAAACAATTCTGTTGATAAGTAAAACAAAAAAGACGTAATGATCAGTTTGGTATCATGGCAAGAGAAGAGCCTGGGTTAATTATCAACTTTATCACTTTGAGGATTAAGTAAAAATACCCATGGTGATTTTGGCAGAAATGGAGTAGTCCAATAGTTAGCAGTGGGAAATTCTGATATAAGCTGAGTAGAAAGTTCTGGGCTGGAAAAATAGAGTTAGGAGTCACAAATATTAATAAGGTAGGCAAAACCATGGGAGTCTAGGAGGCAGGAGAATCAGCTAGAAAGACTATAAGGAAGCAAAGAGGTGCAAGAGGAACCTGGATAAGTCCTCGTAACTTCTCACAGCTGACAGTGCTACACGATGACATTAACAATGCAGGCTAAAATGTTAAAAAAAAAAAAAAGCTTAGATTTGAAAAATTACATCTGAAATTATTTTTAATAAAATTGTGATAAGATTCCACTAAAATCCTGAAATGTTTCTACAATCTAGGAATATTATGACTTTCTGCCTAATCAGTTGAATTTTTATTTGGTCTGGATAGTTTTGTTCTTTTCTTCTTATTATTTTTGCTTTGCTCTTCATTAAATTAACAGTGCTGACTTTGAATCTGACCAGTGTGAATTTATTGTATTGTTCAGTAAAAATTGTATTTCAATAAAAATTACACTTCTTTAAATATAAGAACTTACACCCTCCATGTGATCTTTGTTTACCTAAGGAAATGCAACTTCACCACAAGTACAAAGACCATCATTCATGGACTACTTTGATAAACAGGACTTCAAGAATAAGAGTCATGAAAACTGCAGTGAGAACATGCACGAACCATTCCCTATGTCCAAAAATGTTTTTCCTGATAACTGGAAAGTTCCTCAAGATGGAGACTTTGACTTTGTAAGTACATTTTAATTATCCCATTTATGTTTTATCCTTTATCATCACATTGAGAAGCATAGGTCATGTATGTATATAAAATTATAGATTGTATGTTAATATTCAGTAGATAGCCATGTATGCGGGTAGGGGAATGGTGAAATTGTAGTTTGCTTATAGAAATATACTTGCAAAGAAATGTAAATAATTGCTTATAGTTAAATAAATAATAGCCCAAGTTTAAAGAAGTATTTAGAACTCTTTAAAACTAAAATGACAACAGTTTCAAAAGATTTTTTTAATAAGCACCTATGATATACTTCTGACAGTGTATTCACTTTCCAAAACAAATGATGCAAAGATATTTATGACATAGACTGAGAAGTTTGACTCCACTTTGAAAGTTAACTGAATTAGTTTCTACTTAAGTAAGTGTTGATTCCACTTGGTTTATCAAAAATGATAGTCCTATTCTGTATCTAGTTAGCATATAAATTTTTACATAAAATTGTGTATTACAGTCCCTTGTGTTAAATTTTATCTTTATTTCAATGGAGAAGAAATTTGGTGGAGTAATGTGGGGAAAATAGAAGTTCCTATGACCAGGATCCTCACCTGACCCTAAATTGCTTGATGATGTAACTGGCCAGCTACTAGGCTACTGCTTCCACACCCATAGACGATCAGCTATTACTGACTGAGTCACTATATAAAGAGCTCTGTCCAGTACTCTGGGCAGAGGCAGAGACAAAGGAGGATCACAGAACTACACACCGTTGCCTGTAGATGTAATTCTTTTTTTTCTTTTTTTTTTTGAGAGGGCATCTCTCATATTTATTGATCAAATGGTTGTTAACAACAATAAAATTCTGTATAGGGGACTCAATGCACAATCATTCATCAACCCCAAGCCTAATTCTCAACAGTCTCCAATCTTCTGAAGGATAATGAACAAGTTCTTACATGGTGAACAAGTTCTTACATAGTGAATAAGTTCTTACATGGTGAACAGTGCAAGGGCAGTCATCACAGAAACTTTCAGTTTTGATCAC